AGCTGATAATTGCATGAACTATATTCATCAATTCAAATAGAGAAATGTTATCTGCATTTTTGTAAACCTTCCCAGATTATTCTAATAGTCACTACGCTTGAAAACTCATAATGTCTATGATCATTTCTGGTTCTGATATTGAATAACTCACCACTTAATGAAAGCCAACATGCCTATATGGATAAATAAGAGAATTTGACAAACACATTGTTAGAACTGAGAATACAAATGAGTTTTCCAAATATATCAGAGATGGCATCATAACATATGGAAATGTTAAAGTCCATAACATGGGCAAAAGCACATACTAGAATATTGCAGAGCCTCTTTAGAAATGAATCAGCTTTGTTATGTGAACAACTATTTACTGTAGGAAGTTCACAGATAGACAGCAATGTGGGAAGAAGGTAGAGCTCAACATTTGGCTTTTGCCCAATTAGATGGCCACATGCTGTTCTCTTGAGAGATTAGGAAAGAAATGGAAGAAAGTAGTTCAGGTCAAATCCTAGAAGAAGGATGAGGCACCATCTTCCATAGAGGGTGGGCTTTGTTAATGTTTTTATGTCTTCTGCCTAGATTAGCCTATAGTAAATAGAGGTCCCATGGCTGTGTTACATCATTAAGGAGGCATATTTTGGGTTGGGCTCTTTCAGCTGTGTGATGATGATGCTCAAAAGTCTCAGTAAAATCTCCAAAACACAATACTCTTTAGTAGCATTTCCTAGATTTGTCGTTCTTCTGAGGACAAAGGATCTAGGATAAAATGGGTTCCTGAGAGTCAGAGCAGAGGCTATTTCTAAAAATCCCCGACTTAGCAATGCATGTGCTAATATTGGTTCTGGTTTTCAGATATACCAACATGGGTTATAGGTGAGCTAAGATAGTCAGCTGCAGAGCAGTGCCTAGAGTGGCCAAAGTTCCTAGGTTGCTCACTTTTGCCCCAGTGCTGTACAAATGTCATTTTATCTTAGCCATGATGTGAAAAATATTGCAAAGCATCACTCTATGTGATGATCATTGTATGTTACTTATTACTTAGGGTCTGAAAGGTTCTTCAGAAAGACCCTGTTCTCTAACTCTACACTAAATGAGATCAAGTTCTCAATACTCTGCTTATTATGGAAGGAATACCTAACTCAATACTACATCAGTGAAGTAATTTAATGATATTTTGTTAGGAAACACATAAATGAGGAACAAATGGAATATAAAATAGAATGTTCCTTTTTTACAGTAAAATGTTAAACATTTGATATTATTTTAAATGTTATTTTGGATTTTTTTAGGCATCAAGTTTGTAAAATGTGCCCTCCAAATGAAAAAACATTTGATATCTTAGGTTGATTTCTTAACAGTCATAACATTTTAGTATTTCTTATAATGGGCATGTTTGCTTCCCTTGTTGCACACCGCAACAGATTGGGGTTATATTCGTCTGGAAATAAGGTATTATTCTATTTATCTTGAAGAGTCTTTATAATGAAAATACATGACACAATTAATAAAAGTACCATAGATAACATTAGAGGGTTATTCTATTAGGGCCATTAAAAATTTGGAGCATAGTACTTAGACCATAACTGTTAAAATTTTTATAGTCACTCTCTGAAGCCTGCGAAGAATATTTCTACTATTTATTGCTTTTTAATAATGCCATTTACTACATTTTAAAAAGTTTACTCAAAAACCACATGCCAGCTAATTTAATTATTTTGCACAGAATGTGAAAGAATCCATAGAAAATAAATGAAAGATGGATATTGTTTTGAAATGAGACTCCTTTCATATTCTCTAAGGCAGTGACTGCTTTTCCATGTCCCATAATACTAGATGTTATATTGAATTATAGAAAGAGTCTGTGGGGTTTCCTAGTAGAACTTTTTTCATGGATTATTTTTCATCCATTATTCCAGAGCCAACACAGAAG